CTCTGTGACTTTCAATTGCCTGGTAATTCCCCAACTCCCAGGAAGCAATATACCTATAAGAATTAATGGAGGACAGACTTGACAATACATTCAATCCATTTGCAAACTTCACTGTAATCAACATCTAAGTGTGTGCACGTGTGTGCGCACAAGAAGGGAGAAAGGAGGGAAGACACACATCTATATTTCAAATTAGCAAGTCAGTCATGAGTTACAACTCCATGCCAGGGACGTCTTTAGATAACCAGACACACAGATAATCAAGGCATAGATTAACTTGCTCTGCCTGTGCAGTAATTTAAAGCTCTCAGCTTATATAGCTAGTTCGTGGTGGTGAAACATTCCTGCGGCATATGGTAACCTTTAGTAGGAAACTTGCAATGAGAAGTGTGGGATCCCTATCAGATGCGCAAAGAACATGTGGTTGATATTACAGTGTGCACTCACCCTTCAGGTCCACAGGACTCGCCCGTTTTCTCTTCTTCTTTCCCAAGACCAGCTAAGCAGGCTTCTCCGTGTGAAAACACACACACACACACACACACACACACACACACACACACACACCTCAACCCATGGGGCCCTTGAAATTGTAGCTATCTGTTGTAATTTTTATGCTGAATTAAATTAAATGGTGGCAACATGCTTAGGGAATAAGGAGGCCAGGTTCTCATCCCCACCAAATGGCCTTGGGTCAGCTATAGTGTCCCCCTCAAGAGTGTGAACTAGGTATTTTTGGAAGGATCACCTTCCACTCTGAAAAGCAGTGATTCCAATTATTAGATCAGAAAAAGCTTCCTGGGCTGGGTATTCAAATTCTAAGGCTCTTCCCCAACATTAGCTCCGGATGTTTGATCTTTCTGAGGAGACAGGCCACTAAGGAAGGCCGCTTTTTTGTTTGTTTTTTGACTTCTCCATTCCACAGCACACCTCTCCCACCCTTCTAGAAGTCCCTGACAAAAGGTCTCCATCCTCTTGAAAGCTGGCCCGTGCTTCAGAACAGGGCTCCTCAAGGCACCCAGGGACCTTGTAAAATGCAGATTCTGGTTCCAATGGTGGTGGCGGCAGGGGGAGTGCTGAGATTCTGCATTTCTAACAAGCTCCCAGGTGATGGTGATTGCTGGTCCATGGACCATGCTTTAAGAGGCCTATTAGAGTCCTAGGGCTTCTATAACAAAATATCATGGGCTGGGTGGCTTAGACAACAGACATTTATTTCCTCACAGTAATGGAGACTGGAAGTCCAAGTTCAAGATTTCAGCAGGGTTTGGTTTCTGATGAGAACTCTATCCTAGCTAGTAGATGGCTGTCTTCTCACTGTGTCCTCACGTGGCCTTTTCTCTGTGTGCCCAAATTTCTAGTGTCTCTTCCTCGTCTTTTAAGGACACCAGTCCTATTGAATCAGAGAGCCACCCACATGATCTCATTTCACTGTAATTACTTCTGGAAGGCCCTATCTCCAAATACAGTCAGTCACACTGGAGGTTAGGGCTTCAATGTATACATTTTAGGGGAAACACAACTGAGTCTAAAATAAGTAGTAAAGGTTAAAAAAATAGGAAAGGTCTAGTGCATCTCTCACCATAGAAATGTCATGAGAGTCACATATATAATTTAAAAATTCCCAGTAGCCACATTTTAAAAAAGTAAAAAAAGAAATAAATGAGCACAGCTGGCATGGCTCAGTGGTTGAGCATCGACCTATGAACCAGGAGATCACAGTTTGATTCCTGGCCAGGGCACATGCTTGGGTTGTGACTCCATCCCCATTGGAGGGCATGCAGGAGGCAGCCAATCAATGATTCTCTCTCATCATTAATGTTTCTATCTCTTTCTCCCTCTCCTTTCCTCTCTGAAATAAATTAAAAATTTATACATTTAAAAATAAATGATGTTAATTTTAATCTATATAAAAATTATTGCGTTTTAAATAAAAAATCCTTGAAATCTGGTGTGTACATCTCAATTTGGACTAGCCACATGTCCAGCACACAACAGCCATATGTGGTTGGTGGCTATGGTATTGGACAGTATAGATTCAGAGTTAATCTCTTTGTACCTCATGAGGTACTGCTATGGTCCCTAGGAAAAGACATACATGCCTGAGGTAGAGTCTAACAAAGGACATATACATATATTTAATTTTAATAAATGTATTGGGGTGGCACTGGTTAATAATATAATTTGTTTCAAGTGTAAAATTCTATAACACATCATCTGTATATTGTATTATGTGTTCACCACCCAAAGTCAAGTCTCCTTCTGTTACCATATATTTGGTTTCCTTTAGTAAGGATATTTGACGAATACAGAAGACCCACTTTTGCCAACTTACATTATTTCTAATGAGAAAAAAATGACTTAGTTTTTTAACAAATCACTTCTAGAAAAGCCTTCCAGAATGAATTAAGATTCCACTGTCTAACGTAATCTCAGTTTACAAAATGGAACTTAAAGCTCTGTATAGTCTCACATGCCGAGGGTCTTTAAAAAAAACTATAAAAATTGCAGCTTGGAATGGGATTTGAAAGCCCCATATGCTGCATTATTGAATAACAGAGTAGTATTATGAGGTTATTGTGGCAGATTGCTCAATAGTTATATCACCTGGGTTCACCTTGTTGGAGATCAGCCGTTATGGGTCATGTTCTCATTGCATTGTCCTCTTACCACTACAAGCTCTAAGCTCTAAGGAGGTCAGGGGAGGGCATGGGGAGAAGTCAGCACAGGTCATGGATCTTAATGCCATCCTTTTGGATAGTCAGGCACAGCCTCATGCCAGCCTCAGGACAATGGCTTCACTAACAGAACACCAAATTTAGTATTCTTGCTTAGCTAAATTGAAACATTATTTCCTATTAGCAAAGCAAGTTTGGTCTTTATGATTACACCCATATTTGCACATAAATCCCACACGAAATTGGCTCCCTCCCTAACCAAATACTCCATTTCCACATATGGGGTGATGGCTGTTGATGATGGAAAAAATCTATTAGTTAATGATTATAAAGTACTTGGCTAATCAAAATGAGGGCTAAATAACCCTTTGATAAGACTGGGCTATGGCAAGAACTGATAACCTGGGCCTCACTGGTCCTTTGTGAGGTCTGGCCTTGACAGGCACTCATGTGATATGTGTTGCCTGTGTCGCCAACAGCCCATATTTATTGCACGTATCCCAGGTGCTGAGCATGATGAGAAATGTGCAGAACCCCAAAAATGCACACTCATTGGCTCCTGTGCTGAAACTGACCTCATTATAGTGGGGTGACTAGCCTGTTATTCAGTTCTTACTGGCTTTTCAGTTAGGCACAGGGTAGTTGTACATTGGAAGAAAACACAATTTTAAATGTTTTTTTTTCTTCTTTTTTTTTCTTTTCAATTTTAAATGTTTTAAACAGCACTCATCACTCATATTTGTACACCCGGATTCATAGCAGCATTATGCAAAATAGCCAGAAGATGGCAACAACCCAAATGTCCATCAACAGATAAATGGATAAACAAGATGTGGTATAGATGCACAGTGGAGTATCATTTCGCCTTTAAAAAGGATGAAATTCTGATACATTCCACAACATAAATGAATGTGGGAAACATTTTGCTAAGTGAAATAAGCCAGACACAAAAAGACAGATATTAAATGATTCCACTTATATGAGGTACACTAAAGTAGTCAAATTCACAGACACAGGAAGTGGAATGGTGACTGCCGGGGACTGGAGGTAGGAGAGGGTAGGGAGAGGGAATTGTTCTTCAATGGGGACCGAGTTTCAGTTTGGGATGATGAAACATTTCTGGAGATGGAAGGTTGTGATAGTTGCAACAACGTGAAGATACTTAATGCCACTGAACTGTACACTTAACAATGGTTAAAATGGTAAATTTTGTGTTATGAATATTTTACTATAATAAAAAAGAGTATGCACACATGATTTTCATGTAAAGTTAGGAAAACCAAAGACTTCATTTGTCACCTTCCCTTTGCCGCTCAGTGGCTTGTGTCTCTCTGGGCTGTCTCTGACCCAGAGCACAGGAACTAAGAGCAGGTCAGCTTGACCTCACCTAGCCTGTGGCCAGAGAAAGCACGCCGAAGTCAGGTGTTGCCAAAACGGGGAGGAATGAGAATGGAAATCTGTGGTGCTGAGACGGGAGAAATTAATTGGTAATTAAAGAAAGGTGACAGCTGGTAGACATGACGCCAGGAGATCTTGGGAAGGACAGGAAGAGGGTGAGGGCTGTGCGTGGCTCCTGGAAGCGTGAATAAGTTGCAGCTTCTTAATGAGCTGAGGGGGTGGTTTGTGTTGCCTTTAACTGTTTGGTCTAGAGCAGAGGTGGAGGTGGCCATTCCTGGGAGCAATGCACTCCGTGCTTCCTATTTGTTTATCTCCTCTGAATTTCAGTCTACTGAGCCTGCTGTTTCCTATGTATGAGTTGGGAAATTGGTGTCTTGAGTATGTTGCTCTTCCTTCACCGCACAGAAACTTCTGGACATTCATTTTCTAAGGACTAGAACAGTCTTTCCCAAACTTCTCTCATGATGAGAATCACCTGGTGTCCCAACTAAGAAGTGCTAAACTAGACTTTTTGGGAACATATAGGTAAAATTGTTAAGCTTAGAGCACTAGTTAAGAATACAATTGAAGAGCAATTCCTCATCCCCACCCCTTCCCACCTCCAGTCCCCGGCAAACTCCACCAGGTGATTCTCATCATGAGAGAAGTTTGGGAAATACTGGACTAGAGGATAGAGCTGAAGTTATCATTTCAGTTGCCAAATTATTTGGGTAGAAACCTGAACTCGCTGTTCTGCTCTCAGCGGAAGGAACACCAAACATGTAGGTGCTGAGGGCTGCTGGCAGGGTGCTGTGGAAAGTGCAGGGAAGCACCTGGCACACAGTGCTGGGGATTTGCCGCTGCTGTAGGTGCAGGCAAGGAGAAGAATTTGACATGGCTGCTCTAGCCTTCCAGCCTCCCACCCCCACCCCCTGCTCCACTCACCTCCTGGAGTCTCTGGCTGCTTAGGAGTTCATGCTCACACTTTTACTGAACTCTATTAAAACCAAACTCTTAAGATTCTGCATCCCTCCGGCCCCATCTCCTGGCAGGTGGAAATGAGTTACATTTAAAAATGTTTCTCTGGAATTTCCATTTCAGGCACCAAGACTTACTTGGACCACAAACAGCGGAATAGAGGAGTATGCAAAAGACACAAAAAAAGAAAATACCTGTGGCCAATTCAGAGATAAAGAGATACCCACTGTTCTCAGTGGTCAGCAAAATGCAAATCAAGTCCACAGTTCACATCCTTTTAATTGGTAAACATAAAAGTCTGGCAATACCGAATGTTGTATGTGGTGCAGATCTAAAGAAATCTCTCTAACATGTGACTTCTTGAGTGTGATTTGGCACAACCACGTTAAAAGCTGACTGACATTATTTCCTCAAGTGGAACATTTACAACCCTTATGACCAAGCAGTTCCACTCCATGGTTTATAAAGTGGTTCTTGCATAATAATAATCTATACTAATAAAAGGGTAATATGCTAATTAGACCGGGACAACCAGACATCTTCTGGTCATCAGGTCCTCCTTCCGAACAAAGCCATGGTGGTGGGGGCAGAGGCAGAGGCGGTTAGGGGCAATCAGGCAGGCAGGCAAGTGAGAAGTCAGGAGCCAGCAGTCCTGGATTGCTGGAGGAATGTCCGACTGCCGGTTTAGGCTCGATCCCATAAGCCCTTAGAGATCAGTCCTAAACCGGCAGTCAGACATCCCCCAAGGGGTCCCAGATTGGAGGAGGGTATAGGTTAGACTGAGGGACACCTGTGCAAATTTTGTGCACTGGACCTCTACTAATACAATAAAAGGCATGCTCAAGAGTGATCAAACAGTACTGTTCACAATAGCAAAAGCCTGGAGACATCTGGAGAGTAGATGAATAAATATTTATTTTACAAACAAATAAATAAAGCAGGCAAATGTGTGAAATAAGCAATATCAACTATAAACCAAACTAACATTATAAACTAAACTCTAACAATATAAATGAATCTTAACATGTGTGAAGTGAATAAATAAGTTCTAAAAGATTACAAACAACATAATACCCCTTTTATAATTAAAACAACCAAAATAAAAGTATACTTTAAAATATACACATAGAGGATGTGGGGTGGCCAGGGAGAGGTCAATGGGGGGAAAAGGAGATTTATGGAATACTTTAAACTATAGAGAATTTAAATTAAAAAAATATATATATATACACACATAGAGTCAATCAACTATTTCTAAAGAAGAGTGAGAGCATGGGGAACAGGGGATTCAGGTGGGCAAGAAGGGGGCCAGGATGAGGTCAGATGGTTAAATAAGGTTTATTGTCCTTTGGTTTTTATTTTGGGTGGTGGGATTTAGGGAGTTAAATAGAGAGTTAAAACCATCAATGAGAGAGAATTATCCATCAGCTGCCTTCTGCACACCTCCTACTGGGGATGTGCCTGCAAACAAGGTACATGCCCTTGACCGGAATCGAACCTGGGACCCCTCAGGTTGCAAGCCGAGGCTCTACCCACTGAGCTAAACTGGTCAGGGTTGGTTAGTTTTTTTAACACTGTAGTAAGTGGGGGAGAGGTGAAAGGTCAGGATATGAGCAATACTCCTGCCCCCGGTCACAGATCCATTCCTCCAAACCATTGCCTCCAAAATGGTTATGCCTGTTTTCAGACCTACCAGAAATGAGTCATAGTAGATGTGATTGGCTATGTACGTGAGCCGCCTTTTAGTGGCTTCCTTCATTTGCTTGAGTTAGCCCGGTAGGAGGAATGGTTCTGTGACTGGGGGCGGGGGTATTGCTCACATCCTGACCTTTCACCCCTCAGTGTTAAAAAAAACTAATCAACCCTGACCAGTTTAGTTCAGTGGGTAGAGCCTCGGCTTGCAACCTGGGGGGTCCCAGGTTCGATTCCGGTCAAGGGCATGTACTTGGTTGCAGGCACTTCCCCAGTAGGAAGTGTGCAGGAGGCAGCTGATGGATGATTCTCTCTCATTGATGGTTTTAACTCTCTATCACTCTCCCTTTCTCTCTGTAAAAAAACAAATAAAATATATATTTAAACACACACTCACACATACACACCCACACACACATACACACAAAACACCAACTAACCAGCCCTGGCTTGTTTGACTCAGTGGATAGAGCGTCAGCCTGTGGCCTGAACGTCCCGGGTTCAATTCTGGTCAAGGGCACTTGCCTGGGTTGTGGGCTAGGGCTCTTTCCCCAGTAGGGGGCATGCAGGAGGCAGCCAATCGATGATACTCTCTCATCATTGATGTTTCTATATCTCTTTTCCTTTCCCTTCCTCTCTGAAATAAATAAAAATATATTTAAAAAAAATAACCAAATTACAACAGGTGCATGTGCAGATGAAGCAAGGTTTTAATTCATTTATAATCTGGTACTATGCTCCTGATGTCCCTTCACTCTCAAATCCCCAGGAAACCAAAGAAGCCTCACTTAGGGCCAGCAGTACAGGGGTTCCCTCTACTAGGCGGTTTCTGCCTCCCCTGGGAGTGTCTTATCCTCCCTAAAGCCCCGCCTAGTGCCTGAGGATATCTGCAAATTCCATGTATCAAAATTTGCTTCTTTTTGGTTCAGGCACCCTTTGCTTCTATTAACATGCAAATAGTGTAAACTACAGGAGTAACAGAGTATGTTTTATGAATCTTGACTGTGTTTTTAGAACAAGCTCAATTATCTCTCCATGTCTTTCTCTCTAGATTTATTCCATTCCTGTCACAGTGGCAGATTTATCTGCACCATAGTTTATTTAACACAAATCTTTTATCGATAGACGTATAGATGGTTTCTAGTGTTTGCTTTTGCAAAAAGATGTCCCATAACTATAAAGACGTTGAAGGGAATGGTCTTATACATTAAGGTGAGCTCGCTGGAAAAGAGAATTCCTAGAATTGCTGAGTCTGAAGAAATACATTCTGACAGTCTCTGACTTAAACGATGGTTCACCTTGGGACTTGACAATGGTGTGAATGTGATATGCATTCAGTAGAACGGGTCCTGGGCATTTTGATCTTTCCCCGGCTGGTGGGAGGTGCTGAGATACTCTCTCAGGGTGCTGGGCAGCGGCGGTGAGTCTCAGCTCCCAGTCAGCCTCGTGATCACAAGAGCAAACAACCCGGACTCCACAGGGCGCTGTGTTGCCAGTGAATTTTGGAGACTGTATTCAATAAATTACATGAGATATTCAACACTTTATTATAAAACGGGCTTTGTATTAGATGATTTTGCCCAATTGACGGCCAAAGTAAGTGTTCTGAGCTTGTTTAAGGCGGGCGAGGCTAAGATAAGATGTTTAGTAGGTTAGGTGTAGTAAACACATTTTCCAGCGAACACCGGTCTTCCAGGACAGAACCCCATCGTGAGCTGAGGAGCACCTGTATTTACATTTTGGTGGTCACTGCCAAATTGCCTCCAAAATGGTTATGCCTGTTTTCAGACCCACCAGAGATGAGTCATAGTAGATGTGATTGGCTATGTACGTGAGCCGCCTTTTCATGGCTTCCTTCGTTTGCTTGAGTTAGCCGGGTAGGAGGAATGGATCTGTGACCGGGGGCGGGGGCATTGCTCACATCCTGACCTTTCACCCCTCCCCTCTGCGTCCTGGTGGATAAGCAGAGGTGGGGTGCTTCCCTTTGGCAACAATAGGGGAACTGCCTCCCCTGTGCCTCCCTCCACACTGCCCCTGCTAGCCACAGAGCCTTCATGCTGGGATAGGGTAAGAGCACTTCTCCGCACCGCCTCAGGGGGGTGCTCTTAGGATTTGTGAAAATCCCCGTAGACCGAAAGGCACAAGCATACAGAAGTCTACACCTAAAAGTACAACTCCAGCCCTAACTGGTTTGGCTCAGTGGAAAGAGCATGGGCCTGCAGACTGAAGAGTCCCAGGTTCAATTCTGGTCAAGGGCTCATGCCTGGGTTGCTGGCTTGGTCTCCAGTGGGGGACGTGCAGGAGGCAGCCAATCAATGATTCTCATCAATGATGTTTCTATCTCTCTTTCCCTCCCCCTTCCTCTCTGAAATTAATAAAGATATGCTTTTTTTTTTTCTTTTTAAAGTACAACTCCATCAATAATGGCACACAACACAGAATGTCACAATGCTGATAGAAACCATGTCACTCACTCGGAAACTTGACAGCTCTCCTTTGGGATTCAGACTTCCCAGGACTTTGGTTTCAAGTCTTTTCACCCAAAGCCCGCGTTCATTTGTTCGGCCTGTTTGCAGCATAACAAAAGGAAAGAAAAGGATATTTCCCTTTTCACCTTTTCACCTTTCACCAGTTTCATCAAGGCTCCTATATTACACCAATTATGGAGTCATGTCTCTCTGAGACTTTTTATTAAGATTTGGGTACAGCCCTCCCCAGTTTGGTTCATTGGATAGAGCGTCGGCCTGCGGACTGAAGGATCCTGGGTTCGGTTCTGGCCAAAGGCATATGCCTCGGTTTCAGGCTTGATCCCCAGAAGGGGGCCAATCAATAATTCTCTGTCTCTCCCTCCCCTTTCCTCTCTGAAATCAATTAAAAATAAAGATTTGGGTGCAAACATCCCCAATGTTGTCTGCTCACTGCCCAGGGACCCCATCTGCCTGACTCCACCTGGACGTTGGTGAGGGCCTGACTCCTCTTGGGCCCCATTTTCCAGGCCCAGTGGGTTTCAAACCAGGGTGGTTCAGGCCCACTGCCCCTGTCTCTGGAGGCAACAGCTTGGGACAGTTGCTTCTTAGCTCATGTTTTTGTCCTTACAAAACAGATTTAATAGAAAACAGTAAGCCCTGGCTGTGCGGTTCAGTAGGCTGGAGCATCATCCTGTGCACCAAAAGGTTAGGGGTTTAATTCCCAGTCAGGGCACTTACTGAGGTTGCAGGTTTTATCCCTGGCAGGGGCATGTTCAGAGGCAACCAATTGATATTTCTCTCTCACACTGATATTTCTCCCTCTTTCTCTCCCTTCTTGTCTCTAAAATCAGTACACATATATCCTCAGAGGCGAGGATTAAAAAGACAAAAAAATAAAAGAAAATAAT